CTTCATCTTCTTTTTATAGATGTAAATAATTGAAAAAATTACCTGATCCTCTTGTGCATATATTTGAGCTGTGATAAATTCTGCCAGAAGCAGAGAATATGTTAATATATTAAACACAACAAAACCCATAAATGATTTTGAAAGAAACTGTGGTTTGTCCCATGACATATCTCTCAAATGAAATACTTCAGCCCAGAAACAAACAATTAATGAAGATCCACTTAAAACAAGTGGATAATATGCAGATGATAAACTTCTGGACCATCCTTCTTTAAATGCAGTCTATTAAAAAAGAAGATTAATATTTTGTGAGTATTTATAAAAGAATTAAAAAGTTTAATATTCCTTTTTATATGATATTTACCGGGGATGTAAAATATGCTCCTCTTATCAATGATGCAAGAAACACAATAAAATATAAAACTTTCTGTGTTGTGACCCTACAAGCTCTAAGAAAGGATGGTGCTTTCATTTTTTGCCATTCTGCGATGATACACATAATAAGCTGTATTAGGCACACAAATGCCAGCATAAAGAATATAGTTGCGAATGCAATGTAGTAACTTAAATTTGGAACATGACATTCTAATCCATCAAACTGAATCTATGAAGAAAATGTAGAAATTATATTTAAAAATACAAGAAATGGACTGAATTCTATTGTAATTTTTGACAAATATTACCTCACACAAACAAGTACCATTATAGCATTCTCCATGTCCTGAACAATTTTCATTTCCACAAGTATCATTCCAGGCCATCATCCCAAACTTTACTAATAAAGTCAATGGATTTTGGGTACTTAAAGCAATCATCTGTTCCATGATCGCTATGTATAGGTTTGACTGTTTTTATACAGTCGTGAAAAATAATCTGTTAATTATAATGAATTGGCATTGAGATATCACCAACACATTAAAAAAATGATAGATAGAACAATATAACAAAACAAAGGTAAATCTATGGGTATTAATGACTTGGTAAGATATTATAAAGTAACATGTTATATATAGTCACAAATAGTATACCTCGAGTAATAACTACTGTAATAAATTAAATTATGCATACCACAGAATTTTTTTTACAAAAAACTTTGTACAAAAAAATTTTCTTTGTTAATACATTAGAAACAACAATGCAGATGTAAACACAAAAAAATATTATATCAAGTTAGATTATACAAAAGGTTATTATTACGTACCACAAAATTAATCCGCAAATAATATTTACAAACATTTTTATAAATTTAACTATGATAACAAAAAGGGCAACAAACTTAAAAAAAACTGAAAATTTATTTCGATGTAACTTGAACTTACTAATAAACTTTACAATCTAACGTTAACACTTGCTTCTTATTAATACAAATGAGACAGTCCAAGTACAGTCGTAGCCACCTACGCAACAACTCGACACCTCGTCAGCTGTCACTATCACTGCATTTTTAATAAATATTAACAATAGACCAAACGCAAATTACTATTCTTAAATTTTTTAACATTTCCAAATAAACGTAATAAAGATCATTTATAAGCCAAACGCCACCAAATTACGCACTTAATCATTGCAACGTTCTTTGTTACAACTCCGAATAGACGTTCCCGTTTTTCATATAAATCCACCATGGATAATAGTAGTATAAGATATATTTGAAAATGGCAAATGCTAAAAATGATGTCGATAATGCTAATTGCTAGTTTATCTTGTTTTAGCCAACAATTTAGGTCTTCTTATGAAATTGAATTTTATTATTAGTTTTTTAGATTAGATTAGTTTATTATTAGATTTATTATTTTTTTCACATTTTTCAATAAACTAAGTAAAATGTGAATAGCATGTGAAATTTTAAGAAATAAAAGAATAATTTTTGTTAAACAAGTTTTTGATAAGAAATTATAATAATAATATCATACAACATTCTGTATGTATGTTATTATATATGCACGATTTATTTTCATGATTATTTCCATTAATATTTTTTTTTTATGATAAACAATATTCTTTTTCATTTTATGTAAAAAACATTTTAATTAAATAAAACTTTCGTATTTTAAGAACGCACGGATTTGTAAAAGGCTTATTGCGGAACGCTTCTATCATTTAGTGGGAGTCAAATTGTAACTTTGCGAATGGTTTCCAGCAGATTCCATGTAATATAGTATCGACGTTATTGCAGTCTGAACTACGTAGTTTGAAGCTAAATAAGGAATAATATTATTTCATTGGAAAAAGTATGTAAATGATCTTCCCTTAGTGAACTTTTACTGTACTTACAATTAGTTAAAACAATTATTATTTTAATTCAAAATAAGAATTAAATGTTACGTAATATTCATTTCATATTAACAAATCAACATTTCATATGTAAACTTCTAACTTATGCAATATATTGAATGTGGAGAAATATTACAAACTGATTTATCTTTTTTAATTTGAAAAAAATTTTTTCTTTTTATGTCATGTTAATATTTTTAACACCGATTTTATTCAACTGTGTAATATTGATTAAAATTATTGCTTGTATGCCATTGTGGAGTGATGTTGATATCAATTCTACTAATATATTGTAGAAATATTTTAACAATAAGTAAATAAAAACTTAAATGTATTTAATGAAACTCATTACATACAGTTTATTGGGTACATTATGTACATGTCATAGAAGAATATTTATTTGACATGTGGTGAATATTTACATGTATATTTAAATCATATGTATATAAAAAATGTTATATTTAATGTACTTACATATATGATGTCAAATTGATATTTCAGATGTCTGAAGGAAGGATACCAAAACCTCAACTTCGAGACTTACACATTACAAAGGCTGGAAAGAGTTTAGGAATTGGGGTGGTTGTTGCTGTTGGATGTGGTATTACCTACAAATTATGTATTTCTAATCCTCATAATCGGAAAGTTGAAGAATTTTACAAGTAATTGAAATGTCACAAATAATATATTCACATCCTTTATTTTCATCCCGAATATAAACGTTCATTTTTTATTTTAGAACTTATGATCCAATGAAATCATTAAAGATAATGAATGATGCTGGACTTATGGAATCTACTTCAAAATGAACATCATACACATAAATAAAACATTAGTGATATTTAATTTTATTTACAAAATTATGTACATGTTTGATGAATAAATACTATAGAAAGTGTTTGTATCTCAACATACACTTGTAATTTAAATAAACCCAAGGTTTGTTAAATAATAAATCTTGGTTTACCTATAATTGGGATCAACATAGTTTTTCCATTTATATTGTACTTTTTTACAATAATTATTCGTTCACAGGACATAAATTAAACTATTTAACATATGTAAAACTCATTCAACATGAATAATGCATTTAGTAAGGTAGTAACTGTAAAAAAGTTAAAATTTGTTAAAACAATTTTATAAATTTTATATAAATAAAAACAAAATT